CCAAATTAAAGAAAGTTGTCAGAGCATAAAAAATATTTTATAGCATAAAGCAAAGTAGGAATGGAATGCAGCCTTATTCCATAAACTTCTAAAAGTGAATATAACTTAATAATAAATACACGACATTTCTCAAGCACTTGCTGGGTGATAGGCTCTCTTCAAGCTATGTCTTATGTGAGAATGTGTATTTGAAGCCAGGATATTTGGTTCCAAATTCTGCTTCTGTGAAAAATAAGCATCTGGTTCATCTTGGAATGATGTTTAAATACTATCCCCAACTCTTTCTGTCAATGACCCCTCCACACCCTGAGAAACTGTGCTAAGGAAAGAAGTGAGTTTACAAAACACTAAGAATTCTCGGTGACATCATCCAATCTTGAGATAGTGAACTGAGATGATGACTAACTCCAGGAAAAGAGTGAACAATATCCTTCAGGTGTAGAAACTTCTTCTTATCTCCACCAGTGACTTCTCAGAGACCAAAGAAAACAGCAGCACTCACGGTTTCCCCAGTTCAAGAGCACCGTGCCTTGAGAGCTGGATACACTCCAACCACGTAGACAAAACTCCAGTACACCATACGTAAGAATATTTGAAATGTTCATGTGTAGACAGCCACTTACCTGAGCAATTCTTCAGTTTCCTTATTGAATTCAAGTTAAGCTTTTCTTTGAGAGAGTTTCTAAGGGCCTATCAGGTCTCCTTGTGACTCTGTGTTCACTTTCCCAACTCAAGTTGCGACACTGCAGGAATTTCGCTTTATCCCCCCTGAGCAATGCTATGCAGTGAAAGGGATGGTTGGGAAACATTTAGGACGTGATTACAGATCCCAGGGCTTACAGAGGTCAGCCAGTAATGTAAACAAGCAAAGTGGGCCTGGTGCAGGATGATGGGAGTGGGGGACAGTGCAGCCAACGCAGCACTCTTCTACAGGGAGCCTGAGCTTGCTGTGCCATGTAACACAAGGCCTCTGACACTCAATATTCAAATCATTCAAGAGAAGCTGGGAGTCTGGATCCTTAGGCAAAATCTCCTAATTTCTCTAATGTTGGAAATTAATAAGAAGATCCAGACGACTATCCAGGCTCCTGAAACACACCTCTGGGGACCAAGCCTAGCATGGGCTGCTGACTGGTGACCTTTATTATACGTAAATTTGGAAAAATCTTTCTGCTTGTTCATGGGGTATGTATCCTTCTCAGTGGAAAATATCATATATGGAAAACAAATAATTTTCTTTGTTTCTATTAAATCAACTTAACTCTGACAGTGAGATCCTATCCCACTGAGTTAATGGAAAATTCTGCCAGAGTCATTGCCACGATCCCAGCTATCCCCTCCCTGAAGTCTGGCCAGCTCTTTGGGGTATAATGACAAGGCATGCATAGGTCATCCCTGTCATCGCTGTCCTGGGGTGTGCGGACCCTAATCCTTGTCTCTGCATTTTCTCCTCTTGGCTCTACTGGTTTTTCAAGGCTCTCTCATCCTCACCTGACTGTCTAAGCACCTTTAAATACCTTTTCAGTGGCTCAGGGTTTTTCTGAGGACTGACTCTTTCAAGATGCCTTGCAGGACTGGCTACAAGGGGGCCTGGTGCAATATGAAAATGTGGGGCCTCTTATTCAAAACTTGGTAAGAATTTCAAGATGGCAACAGCAGAGCATTAAACCAAGACCTGGTCTCTTCTGAGCACTGTGCCCTTCTGAGCATGAGGCTCTGTGCAACTGCAGTCGTCGCACACCCATGAAGTGGCCCCTGACTCTTGGCTTTCCGCACTGGCAAAGTACCTGAGGTGAGGAATTATGAATCCTAGCTACCTGATCAAGAGGTTGGGAAAAGGATGAGAAATGCAAAGCACTGTGAAATTTACTACACATCCAAATTACCTTGCCATATTTTCAAGAGTGGATCCAGGTTTAGGCTTCCTAAACCTATAGACAAGACTATAAATTTCATAAAGCTGAAGAGAGATCTGCATAATAAGTCACCAAGGGCTGGTTCTGGAATTCAACACCAACCCTCTCTACTCACCCTTTCTAGCTGTCAATCAAGTCTGGAGGAAGGAAATCAGAAAGGTATTCTAATCTCTCTCTCTTTCTCTCTGTCTCTGTCTCTCTCTCTCTGTCTCTCTGTCTCTCTCTCTCTTCCCCACCCCTTTTCCTGCCTCCCTCTCTCATCATAGTAGCATTCTAGGAAGTGCATTTCAGGTCACCAAACCCCTTGGCATCCCAATCTAGCATGGTAGGAGGGGATCAGAAGGACACTAGGGCTCCCTTCTCCCTTGCTCCTTTACTTTTTAAATCTCCAAACTGCATGCTGTCTCACCTCCCTGCAAGTCTGATCTCCCTCAGAACTACCCTGCCATGCCCGGCCTGAGATTAGAAGACAGACATGGGAGGTTTCTAGAAGTGAACACACCCACCTCCCAGCACAGAGGAGTAGTTTCTGACTATGATGAGAGGAAAAGCCAGAATCTGGGTGTTGTTGCAGTGGAATGGGGTGTCGGGGGGGGCACCAGTGGAGGCAAGTGGGTGTTTGGGGATTGTAGATTGAATGCTTCTAAAAGACCAGGGTTCCTTAAGGTTGAGCTGTCTCTTTCTCATTCTCTCATTTCACATTCTCTCTGCCAAGACAGCTGCATTTCCCTCTTGCCAGCTCCCTCCTCCTCTCAGAATCTGACAGTCAACAGGACATAAGCCTGCCCACCCCCATTCTCCAAACACATAGGCCAAACCCACCATTTTTAGTTGCTGCTGTTTTTCCTGTGCTATTGACCACAGAGTTTCATATCTAAAATATCTCATCCAATCTCCTCCTTTAAATTGAAAAAAAGGAACACTGAAATGCAGGCAGCAGAAGGGATTTGCACAGGTAGAGATGGAGCATGACCTTGAAATTCAGATGCTTTTGGAGTACAAAATCCTGAGGCTGAGGTCACTGGCCAGTCCTCCGGGTGCCTCATGTTTGTTTTGTATGTGTGTGTGTGTGTGTGTGTGTGTGTGCATGTGTGTGCATTTCAGGGGTTGGAAGGACTCAGGGCCAGTGCAGTGAAGGAATCTCCTCCACCCAGCAAGCCGTACAGACCATCTGGACCTGGGCCAGGCTTTTCCACTCTGCTTCCCTCCTTTCCACACTGGCTGCCCCTACGTTCCTGTGTTCCTCCATCCCCTTCCATTTTTCCTCTGACTTGCATGTTGTGGCCTGGCTCTGAGCCTGGGAGGAAAGGAGGAGAGAGGGGTGCCCCACCAGACCCCAAGCTTAGTACTGACAGCCTCTGGGAGCTTAGGATGACATTTCTTGCACATCACTGTATGTGTTACAACTCTAAAGAGCAGCAACTTTTCAGTGGCTAGGAAGTGCAGGGAGAGGACAAGGCAAGCTGACAAAATCTACTAACTAAGCTTCCTACCTGAAAGGAACTAAATTATCTGAGGGACGAAGATGAGTAATACAGAAGAGAAAAGATGAACAGAAAGACCTAAGAGAAATGAGCATTAAAGAGAAGCAGGATTTAGAATTGAGGGAGGCCTGTTAGATCCAGGGCATAAAGGGAAAACAGGTCAAACTGGCTCTGAAGGGGAACAGAAGGGTTTGCTTTTGAGAAAGGAACTGCAGGGAGGAGAGAACTAGCAGCAGAGGTGAAGGGACCCACAGCACAGGGAGAAGGTCTTATTTATACTAGAGTGAGGTCACTGGCAATTGTGTGATTCGACTCATGGAAGAGGTCTGGAAGGATCTATTCATCCCTATGGTCATAGCAAACATTCACATAGGGTTTGGCACGTGTCAGGCGCTGCTTTAAGTGCTTTATCTGCATTAACTCATTTATTCCTCATAGCAATCCTGTGAGATAGACATGATCACTATCCCCAGAGTAAAAAATGAGGAGACTGAGATAGACGTTTATGAACCCCCTACCATACGCAGAAAAATGGCCCCCTAAAGATGTCCACATCCTGATTCCCAGAACTGTGAATATACAATGTTCCATGGCAATAGAGAATTAAGGTTGCAAATAGAATTAAGGCTGCTTAATTAACTCACCTTGAGATAAGAGCTCATCTGGGTAGGCCCGATGTAATCATAAGCGTCCTTCTAAGTGAAAGGTAAAGGCAGGAGACTCAGAGAAGAAGTGGTGACAACAGAAGCAGAGGTCGGAGCCATCAGATTGATGGCCTTGAATATGGAGGAAAGGGCCCAAAGCCAGGGAATTTGGGGGTGGGAGGCAGGGTAGGGCATTCTGGAAGTTGGAAAATGCAAGGAAAATGGATTGGCCCCTAGATCCTCCAGAAAGAACACAGCCCTGCCTACACTTGATGAAAGTTCAGTGAGACCAGACTTCTGAGCTACAGAACCGGAAGATAATAAATTTTGTGTTGTTTTCGGCACTAAAGGCGTGGTGATTTGTTACAGCAGCCATAGTAAACTAAGACACTATCTAGCTTGTAAGGAGAGGATGTGGTGGCTTCAAAGTCCAGCCTTTTTACCAGCTACACCTTTCTCTCTCTCCCTCATATCTGCCATTTATTTATTGGTTAGTAAAATGTTTAGCACCTTACAAAAACAATGCAAGTGATATTTTTAAACAATTCAGTAATTGTGAAGATAAGAACCAACAGACAATTTCTTCACTCTTAGCCCTGCCGCTTATATAAAACATGCAGAATGTCTTCTTAATCATACGCTCCATTTTAACACAACTTGAGTTTTTAAATTAAAACTGTGTCTAGGACCCATAGATATAATTCGTACCGTACATAAAGATCTATCGTTATTTATCAACCCTCCACTGGTTCATAAACAAGCTCAAGGGATTTTTTGTTTTGGGTTTTTTTTTTTTTTAACGAACTGCCCCCACTGTATTGTCTCCATCCCGGATTTGGGGCGCATCTCGGGCCAGAAACTGACACACAGCAGAACCTCTGCGGTCGGCCAAGCCCCGCCCCCTCCGCGCGGCGGCCAATCCGCTCCCGGGACGGCGGCCCCGCGCCCCTCCTCCGCCGCGACCTTCCACGTCCCCCCGCGTCGCGTCCGCCGCCCAGTCCCTTCTCGGCGGAGAAGCTCCTTCCTCTTGGGAAGCACCTCTGCCCGCTCCCGGCAGGTCCTGTGAGCCCTGAGCCCGCGCTGCAGGGAAGAGCGGGGCAAACGGTGAGCGCGGTGTAGCCTGGGCGCCGGCCGGGAGGGGCCCGCGGCGACAAAGGCCACAGCCCGCGGACAGAATCGGGGCGGGGAGGTGGGCGCGACGGTGGGGCCGGCAGGGCTGCGGACGGGTCTGGGGCCTCTGCGCGTGCCTGCGGGTGACGGGGCGTTCCACAGAGGAGTCTTTGCTTCTGTCCTTTCTCCGGCCTCTCTCTGCGGCGGGCTGGGTCTCTGTCTCCTCCTTGCCGCATTGTTAGCCCCCTCCTCGTCGGGAGGTGGATGACCCCCTTTTTCCTGTGATTTGTTCTGCGCTCCGCGGGGAGCCATTGAGATCTGAGCTCACGGGAACCATGGAGACCAGGTTGCCTCCTCTGCTGGGGGCTGGATACTGAATTCTTTTAGGGTATCTTGTCTCTGCTTACCCCGCAGTGAAGTCCTCCTGTACCCTAATCGATGCGCTGGCGTTAGTGGGGGGAGGGGCTGTGCGGGGGTGGGGGCGGGGGCGCGAGCGACCGTGGGTGCCAGGCTGGAGAGGATGTCGGTCTGGATGCGTTTGGCCTGAGACTGCAAGCGCAGGATTACTGGTTCCCAGTTAAACATCTCAGAGCTGGCCACTGCCTTGGCCCAACCTTCGAGAAAGGGAGAGGCCTTAAGGGAGCATAGGAGAAAACGATCTTTGCCAGTTGGATCCTCCTGAAAACTTGGAAGAAGTGCAGCTCTAACTAGATACAAAGGACAGAATGTATTTGTCTAGCCGACGGGCCAGCCATCTATCCATCCTGTCATACTCCGAACAACTATGGTTGTGTCGATTGATTGCGTTTCAGTACTTCGCTTTCTTTTTGCTTTCTTTTGTTGTTAGAAGATTTCTGAATAAAAAGCACACAAAACACCTAAGAGCGGTCTGAACAATAAAATGAAAGCCTGAACCATCTCGTGGGGCAAGGAATCAGGGTTTGCAGTACCTCAGGCCCCTGCGAGCCCAAGCTTATGGAGGAGAACGGGCATAATTTTTGTTTTAAATATTACCTTTGTTTTCTTTGTAGTTTTACCATTTTGTGTGGGTATTCCAAAAACATACATATATGTTGGCTTTTTCAAGTTTTTACTTTCATACCAATGACACTATCCTGTACATATTCTTAAGTTTTTCAGATTCACCCTTGCTGATGCTTCCTTTACGTTGTTTGTGGTATAAATGCACCATAATTTATCCATGCCACTGCTGATGGACATCTGGGTTGCTCGTAGTTTAGGAGATGCATTAATTATCTACAGCTGTGTAACAAATTACTACTTCGCAGCTTAAAACAAACAAACAAAAAAACCCAAATGAAACAAGATAAATCCTACCTTCTCCTGTCTTACAGTTTCTGGATCAGGAATACAGGAGGGGCTTAGGTGGGGAGGCTCATTAAGGGTTTCTCACAGCCTGGAACCAAGCAATCAAGGTATTTGCTGGGGCTACAGTCATCTCAAGGCCGGGAGTAGGGGGGTCTGGAGGCCTTTCCAGTTTACTCACATGACTGCTGGCTGGTCTTTTGGCTTCAAGACTTTGGCTGGACACATCAGTTCTTTGCAATTGGGCCTCTTACAGAGGCTCGCCACAACATGGCAGTTTGCTTTCCCCAGAGCGAAGGCTCCAGAGAGACAGACAGAAACCAGATTCTTGGTGTAACCTAATTGCAAAAGTGACATCCCATCATTTTTTCCCATCTTCTGTTCATTAGAAGTGAGTCCCTGGGTCCAGCCCACACTCAAGGGGGGGGGGGAGGGTTACACAAGGGCATGGATACCTGGAAACGGATTATTAGGGGCCATTTTAAAGGTTGCTTACTGCAGAGGATATTAACGAATAATGTCCTCTACCATTCAAGTACAGGTGTGCAGCTGTACACTCCCTAGAGTGTACAGCTAAGAGTAGAATTGCTGAGCTATAAAATTGATATATATTTGACTTTATTAGGTCATTTCCAAGCTGTTTCCAAAGCGTTAAATCAGTTAGCACTCCCTCCAGCAATGGATGAGAGTTCTTGTTGCTCCACATACTCGTCATAACTTGGTCTTGTCAAATTTCATTTTTAGTCAATCTGGCAGGTATCAAATAACATTCCACTGTGATTTTAACTAGCATTTCCCCATACCTAATGATCAGATATTGTGCTTTCTCTCTGTGAAATTCTGGTTCCTGCTTTTATTCATTTTCATATTGGGCTGCTTACCTTTTTCTTACTGACTCATTGGAGTGCTTTCTTTATGTAATCTGGTTACTAATCAATTCCTTGTTAACCATATGTGCCACAAATATCTGCTTCCAATTTGCTTTTGAGGTTTTCTTTCTCTGTCTCTATTAATGAATGTTAAGTTTTGAATTTTGATTTCAAGTTACCAGTACTTACTTTATAGTTTGTCTTGTTTGAGAATTACTTCCTCAAGATTATAAATTAATTTTACTGTATTGTTTCCTAAAAGCTTTTATGGTTTTGTATTTGACAATTAGTCTTAACCCATCTGGAAATTGATTTTTATGTTGTTTATTCCATATGGATAATCAGTTTTCCCAGCACCACTGATCTGTATGAATCAAGTTTTCCATATATGGTCCATAATTTGTTTTAAGCTCCCTCTCTCATTATGTATTTGTCTAACTCTCCACCAATACTAAATAATTTTTAACTACTATAGTTTTATAAAAAGTCTTGACATCTGATAGGAAAAGTTCTCCCACCTCTTTCTTCTTCTTCAATGGTGGTTTAGCTATTCTTGGACTTTTGACCTTATATATAAATATTTAAATAAACTTGTCAAGTTCTCCAAAACTAGAAACATGCAAGCAAATAAGTCTGTTGGGATTCTGATTGATTGTATTGACTCAATCTTTTAGTCCATTTTATGCTGTTGTAACAGAACATCTGAGATTGGCAAGTTATAATAATCAGAAATTTATTTACTCACAATTCTAAAGGCTGGGAAGCCCAAGATCAAGGGGCCACCATCTGGCAAGAGCCTTTTTGCTATACCATCCATAGCAGAAGGGCAAAGAAAGGGGAAGAGAGAGAGAGATAGAGACAGAGACAGACAGAGAGAATAAAAGGCAGCCTAACTCCCCCTTTGATAACCAACCCACTCTGTCGATAAAGGAATTAATTTAGTCACTCTGCCCTCATGACCTTTCTTTAGGCCCCACTTCTTAACACTGGTGCATTGGTGATTAAGTTTCCAACACATGCTCTTTGGAGAACACAATCAATTTGGGGAGATATGACCTCTTTAAGATATTCAGTCTTTCCATCTATAAACTTGGTATATGATGTTATTTATTTAGATCATCTTTAATGTTTTGTACTATTTTTGTTTTCTTTTTGCTCCTTTTTTGTTAAATTTATTTCTAAGTACAATATTTTTACTGCTATTGTAAATGTTTTCTTTTATAAAAGTTATTTTGTAGTTTATTGTTGCTGACACATAAAAATCCAATTGCCTTTTCTGTATTAATTATATATCAAGCAAACTTGATAAAATTATTTCTTATACATTTACATGTAGATTCTTTCAGACTTGCTGCATAGACAGTCATATCATCTGAAAATAATGACAACTTTGTTTTTTCCTTTCCAATTTTTATACCTTTTTTTTCTGTCTTACTGCAATGGCTAGGAGCTCCTAAGTATAGTGTTGAATATAATAGTGAAGGACATCTTGTTTTGTCCTTAATATAATAAAGAGAAATATTTCACCATATCAACTTTAAACATGGTATTTGCTGTAGTAATTTCATAAATGCTTTCCCCATGATAAGTTCAATTCCTTTTTGGTAAACATTTTTATTATGAGTGGATGTTTTGTCAAATGTTTCTTCTGTAGCTACTGAGAATAACATAGAATTCTTTTTCCTTTAAATACATTAGCATGGTATACTATTGAATTTTTGATAATAAACCAATTTTGTATTTCTGGAATAAAGCCTTCCTGGTAAATATATCATAACTTTTGTATGTAGATATAGATATAAAGGTAAACATTAGATATTTGAATCTATATGTGTAGTTGAGATTGGCCTGCTATTATCCTTTCTGTACTATTCTTATCTGGTATTGGTATCATCACAAAATAATATGGGTAGTATTCTCTCTTTTTCTATTATTCTAGTATTCTCTATTTTTCTATTAGATAATCCCAATATTCTTAAATATTTCCTCGAATCACTTGCAAAACTTTGTGGGTTTGGAGTTTACTTTGTCAGAAGGTTTTAAACTTGTTGCTTCAATTATTTTAATGATTATAAGATTATTTAGGTTTTCTTATGGGATCAGTTTTGGAAAATTGTGTTTTCCATGATATTTATGCATTTCATATGTATTCTTATATATTCCTATTTGTATATGTTTATTCAATATATAAAAATACAGTTGAGGCCGGGCGGGTGGCTCACGCCTGCAATCCTAGCTCTCTGGGAGGCCGAGGCGGGCGGATTGCTCAAGGTCAGGAGTTCAAAACCAGCCTGAGCAAGAGCGAGACCCCGTCTCTACTATAAATAGAAAGAAACTAATTGGCCAACTGATATATATATATAAAAAAAATTAGCCAGGCATGGTGGCGCATGCCTGTAGTCCCAGCTACTCGGGAGGCTGAGACAGAAGGATCGCTCGAGCCCAGGAGTTTGAGGTTGCTGTGAGCTAGGCTGACGCCAGGGCACTCACTCTAGCCTGGGCAACAAAGCGAGACTCTGTCTCAAAAAAAAAAAAAAAAAATACAGTTGACTTTTGAACAATGTGAGGGTCAGGACACCAACCTCTCTGCACAGTAAAAATTAACTTACAACTTTTGACTTCCCAAAATTAACTACTAGTAGCCTACTGATGACCAGAAGCCTTACTGGTAACATAGTCAAATAACACATATTTTGTATGTTATATGTATTATATGCCATATGCTTACAATAAAGTAAGCTAGAAAATATAAAATGTCATTAAGACAATCATAAGAAGGAGAAAATGTGTTTACTATTC